CTCCGGGCGACGGGGAAGGCGGCTCCAAGACACTGTCGCTGCACGGCGGTGCCGAGAAAGGCGGCGACCCCGGGGGCCCCCTGCACGGGGCGCTCAAGGCCCGCGGCTTGGGCGGCGGCGACCTGTCGGTGAGCTCGGACTCGGACAGCTCGCAGGCCGGCGCCACCCTGGGCGCGCAGCCCATGCTCTGGCCCGCCTGGGTCTACTGCACGCGCTACTCCGACCGGCCTTCTTCAGGTGAGCCCGCAGAACCCCGTGGCCGGCCGCCCGGGAGGTGCGCGGGGCGGGGGTGGCGCGGGCGGGAGAGTTCGGGGAGAAAGGGATGGGACCGTCCTCCTCCCCGACACGCACACGCGCACACACACACACAAAGACGCACCCTGGGCACACACACAGCGACCCTGCCCTGGGCAGCTGACACAGGCTGGAGCAGTTGCAGGCGCGCAGGGGAGGGATTAGGAAGGGGTACAGATTCCCTTCGGACCGAGGAAGCCAAATTTATATTCTTGATACTCGCATTTTTCCTACCCTCCCGGCTGCTTACCCACCCCTTCCCCTGATGGTGGTTTATTTGGCAAGAACAGGGGTGGCTGGAAAACAGGCCCGGAAGGGCACAGTGTGAACGCCTGCCCCACTTCAGCTCTGTCCAGATTGGGGTGCACCCCGAGGCACACACCCCGCCCCCCCCCCCCCCCGGTCCAGAGTGGTCGACCTCGCTACCCCGGGCGTGGTCCAGAGGAGAGCAGCACGCTGCCTTTCGGATCCCTCCTCCCGCTGGCCTAGGCTTGGGGAAGGGGCTGCAGAGAGAAGGGCGAGAGCAGAGGCCCCTCACCCCTCACCCCTCACCCTTTGCTGACTTTATTTGCTGAATTCGGGCACAGCGCTGGTGGAACACACCTGTCCCGGGACCTGAGTGCCCCGAGGGAAAGGTCCTTCCCGAGGGTTTCCTGGCAGTGCCGGGCGGGGTGGGGAAGAGGCTTTCAGAGGCTGGGGGCGAGGCTTTGGGTGTATTTTTTTTTAGTCCATCCGTGATTTTAAGGAGCTAAAGTACACCATGACCTTGTAGAAATCACCACCTGCACTAGACGCGGGTCTGCGGCTGGGAAGCACCCTGAGGAGTGGGCTGCGTTGGTCCTCAAGCTGCCAGGGGGCCTCCTCTGTCCCCCAACCCTCACCTGTTTTGCGGGGTGCTTGATGCGCAGTAGAACAGGACCGAGGCAACCCTGGGCTGCCTTCCCGCGGAAATGTATCTCTGTGTGTATTTCTGGTGAAACCCAAATTTCGCCAGCTAGACCTGAAATTTGCGCCATTGTTCTCGGCTTCCTCCTTTGTTAATATTTAATTAACATATAGGCTCACAATGCGCTGGCCGGGAGCCGCGCTGGGCTTTGTAGGCGGCTGCCTGCCCGCGCGCACGGAGCCCGGCGGCCCAGGCCTGGCGGCCGGGGCGCCTGCTGCGTGGCCCGGTCCCGCTGAGCCGCGGGCCCTGCTGGCTTTCAGAAAACCCCACCGCGTGTAAGTAACGTTTCTGTTCCTGGGCGCGCAGGAAAAAGGGGACCGAGAGGGTCCGCACGGAGGTCTGGGTCTGTGTCCGACCCTCCTGTTTTCCCTTTTGAAAGAAAAGACAGAAAAATGGTATTTTAATTGACGATCCTCCTTTCGTAAAACTGCCTTTTTGAGGCTGGTGGGTGGGCGTGGGTGAACGGGAACCAGGGCTGAGGCGTTTGGGGGCAGGGAGAGGGCTGCAGGGCCGGCGGCGGAGCTCGCGAGCCGAGCCCAGGAGTCCAGGCCGCGGTCAGTCGGGCGGGTGCTGGCGCCTGGGCCTCTCCCCTGTCTGCATCTCCTTCCCCTCGAGGGTCCCAGCGAGCTAAACCGCACCCCACCCGCACCCCCAGCAAGGCCAGGCCCGCAGGCGCGGCGCCCGCCCGTCCGCGATGGTGTGGTGCGAGCGAGCGGGGTGCACGTGGCGCGTGGGCGGGCGTGAATGTGGGTGCGCTTTACAACTAAGGGACAGGAGTGTGAGCCTAGCCGAGCCATCTCTGGCACCCGCCTTGTGCCGCAGGCCTTCTGTCCGGTTCGCCTCCGCGGAGCGCACTGGGCTGGCCCTGGAGAGCCCTCCCTGCCCGCACGCTCGGCCCACAGTCTGCCCTCTTGCCGAGCTGAGCGCGGCTCGGCAGCCCTCCCACTCCCGGTCTGGGTGGGCTGCACCCCAGCTTCGCCGAGTGACCCGGCTGCCCGGCCCAGAGTGCACGAGGGTCTGCCCTCTCTGGCCTCTTCGCTTGCAGCGGAGGGGGCTGAGGGTGGGCCTGGGCTGAGGCCCCAGAGTTGATTCTGCACCTCGCCCGCGGAGGCAGCGGAGGCAGGGTCATCTCTCCCTGCCGCGGCCTGGCCGGGCTTCCGCACTCGGGGAGCTCGGCTCTGAGCTCTTGACCGCGACCAAAGAGGCCCTTTGCTCCTTCTCTCTGCCCTTGTCGCTCGCTGTTACCCTTTCCTGCGTCCAGCCCTAGGCCTTAAGATACCCACCACCCTGCTCAAAGGCGGGGTCAGCCAGGCAGCTCCTAGGCAAGGGCCAGAGTCTGAGGTGTGGACCTGCCCAAGGTCACCCGGGCTGCCTGCTGTGTGGGGAGGTGGGGAGTGAGTGGACAGGGAGCCTCCCTACCAGGAGGGGAGATTCTGCTCCACCCTGTTCTTAGGGGACAGTGAACTTGGGCTCTCAGGACAGCTAGAGGAGTCCAGAGAGTCGGGGTGTCCAGGCCTGGCAGGCCCTCCAGTTGTGGGAACCTCTGCTCCTGGCACATTAGGGGATGCTCCCCGGGGGCCCTCTAGGGGCCGGGACTCCTCCCACTGCCTGGCTGCCTGCGGCCCTCTCGGGTCTGCCGCCTTTGGGTCTCTCCCGGACTTACTCTAAATTCCGGAGAGTGAGAATGCACAAGGGAGGGAGGGAACAGAAGAAGAAACCAAACAGGCCAGAAAGTTTTTTGTCGCCCACCTCTTGTTTTTTGCTTTAATGTGGAGTCCTCTGACTCCTATGGCCTTTGCACCCAGTCCGCTGCACGCCCACATTTCCGTGCATGGCGGCCCGGGGAGCCCACCCAGCCCGGGTCGTGGTGCTCTCCATCGCTCGGTGGGGTGGCCGTGGGCCGTTCCTTCCCCTCCCGCAGTCTCTGCAAGCTTCTCAGTGGCGGCTGGCCCCAGGCCGGGACTGGCAACCGCTGCTGGGAGGGAGGTGCCCTGCTGCCAGAGCCGCAGCATAACCTGCTCTCTCTGTCCTTCTCCCGCCCAGGCCCCCGGTCCCGAAAACCAAAGAAGAAGAACCCCAACAAAGAGGACAAGCGGCCTCGCACCGCCTTCACGGCCGAGCAGCTGCAGAGGCTGAAGGCAGAGTTCCAGACCAACAGGTACCTGACTGAGCAGCGGCGCCAGAGCCTAGCGCAGGAGCTCAGCCTCAACGAGTCCCAGATCAAGATCTGGTTCCAGAACAAGCGCGCCAAGATCAAGAAGGCCACGGGCAACAAGAACACGCTGGCCGTGCACCTCATGGCCCAGGGCCTGTACAACCACTCCACCACAGCGAAGGAGGGCAAGTCGGACAGCGAGTAGCAGCAGGGTGGGCGAGGCCTGCAGGCCGCGCGAAACAATGCAATAATTTAAAATCATAAGGGCCAGTGTATAGAGATTATACCAGCATCAATCGTGAAAATATTGTGTATTAGCTATGGTTCTGCAATATTCTATGTATATATAATTTACAGGTGTTGTAAAATCCAAAATATCAGACTATAAAGTATTTTTTTGCTTTTTTGTGTTTACGAGATTATGCTAATTTTATCTTTTTTTTTTTTTTTTTTGCAAAGGGGGCTGCTTAGGGTCTCATCTTTTTTTAATCCCCTAAGCTCCATGATGGGACATCAGACATTTTTTATTATTATTATTTCAAAAGAAGAAAAAAATTAAAACAACTTGCTAAAGTCCAAAGATTTTTATTGCTGCATCTCACACGACTGTGAACAGAATAAATAGCTCCTATTTGGTCTAAGAGTTCTGCCACTTTGTTTGTATTGGCTTGGACAGGACAGCAGAGCCTGGAATCCGGGGCCTGGGGCCTGGGCCTTCTGGAGCTCAGGGGCCCTGGCAGAAATAGGGCACTCGCGGGTCTTTGCCTGAGGTCCAGTCTTGGCCTTGGAGGCAGGCTCGCAGTGACACAGGGCCTGTGTTGGGAAGCAGGCCTCACCCTGCCCTGGCTCCGGCTGCTCTCCTCTCTGTCCTCTCTTCCTGTCCCACTCCCCAGCCTCCTCCAGGCCTGGCCCACACCTCCCTATGTACTTCTGTCCACGTCTGTGTTTCTGTGCCCTGCTCCGTGACAGCCCACTAGCGCCAGCTCTTCTGCCGTGGCACTGGAGTGAGGGGCAGGGGCTGGCCCAGAGCCCTCAAGATTGGGGTGCCCCTCCTCCTCCAGGCCCCAGCTAGCCAGCCCCCAAACCCAGCAAGGTCTTTGCCAAAGGATGGGCAGAGGGAGTTGGCAATGTGTTCCTTTCCTTTTCCTTTTTTTCCCTTTCATTTTTTCTAGCCACTTCCACTGTTCTTCCAAGATAATATATGTGTGTGTACATATTTGTGTAAGCACGTGCACGCACGCACCAGGCGTGCACCCGGCCCCAGTTCTGGAACCTGAGGCTACCTTGACTTTCAAAGAAACTCAGACCCCTTCGGGATCTAGAAGGAAGAAAGGGTGTAAATAATCATTTCTTATCACTTTTTGTCTTTTCTTGTTTTTTTAAGAAAATGTACATTTTATTTTTCAAAGGTGTGGCACAGTGTAAATTAAATATATTCAATATATTCCCTACCAAGTACATATATATATATATGAACAAACGCATTATATATAACACCACACTGTCTTCTGTTTAGTGTCCAGAAAACATGTCCAGATGTTCATCGAGGCCAGAATGGGCTGCCCAGGGGATGTGCCCACGGCCCAGCTGGGCACCACGGGCAGCGCCGGACTTCTCTCTTTGCCTTAAACCTCTTTATTTCACTTCGATAATAGTTTCACTTTGTACATAATAGTATAAACCTTTTTGAAAAGGAAACTATAAAAACAAAAGCTGTAATTTAAAATTTTGTGAGTAACCATCTGCTGCTTAGGAAACTCAATGAAAGGACAGGCCTTTTTAGCAGGAAGCAAATTTATTGGTTTTTTTTTTTTAGTTTAGTTTCTAAAACGTGCATTTTACAGTTTGAGTATCAAATATTTATAATCTTATGAGAAATGAATGTTTCTATTTACAGTTGTGGTTATCCAAATTGTGAACATTCCACCCCCACGCGCATTTTTGTGTGTTGAACTTCTTTGAAAGTTACAATAAATAAAAAGAAACACCTCTTTATTACAAACAGCAGAGGTCCAGGTGAAATGACTGGCTTTTCTGTTTCTGAGTCCAGTCGTGCCTGGGCCACCCTCCCAAAGGCCTGGCTCTCCCGGCCTGGCGCCCTTGGTAACAAGTGGATCCCTGTTTTTTTAAGTAATATATTTTGAATATCTTGCATGTGAGCACAGAGCAACCAAAACAATTGTGTCCACATTTCATCACCAGAAGGAACTGTTCCGAGTCTACGTTGCCAATCCATCGGCAGAGTTCAACAGGTCTCTCGCAGGGGCTGCGGCTCTGCTCATGCGTGCTGGACTGCAGCTCCCGCTCTGGGGAGGAGGAACTTCTGCTCTGGGAGAGAAGAGACCCGGGGACTCCTCTTTTCCGGGTCAGCGTCATTCACCTTTTTTGTTGTTCTTACTCCCCAGAGTAAAAGCTGCTGTACAGCATCTCGGACAGAAAAGTCAGGGAAGTCCAAGAAGCACCATCCAAGGTGCAGGAAGCCCATTGCCGTATTTTTAAACTTGACTGGGTTGAAAGAAAGAAAGAAAATGATCTCTTCTCTCAGCACAAGAAACTCAGAGATTCTGAGAATCATCTGTGGCCAAGTGCAACCTTTTAGGTGTTTCCTGTGTGACCTGCTGCAGGGCCTGAGGGAGGGTTGCAACCTTGGGGTGCTGGAAGGACCAAGCTGGCACCCACACCGACTGGAGCAGGCTGGGTCACCCCAGACCCCTCAGGATCACGCAGACCATTCTGAGACCTCGACTTCAGCACACCTCTGACGGTGCTTCCGTTGAAAACAAGGCGAGGCAAACAAAACAAATACTAGCGCAATTTCTACCACTCTACTGGCCTTTCTCGTTTTAATAAAAATAACCCATCGATATCAAGCAATCTTTTAAGATATCCGTTTTCAAATCAACACTGGCGAAGGGCAACAAACAGCACTGTGAGGTCCTGGGTTCCCGGTGCCCAGGGGCGGTCAGGCCAACCTGAGGCTCAGAGTGAAAGGGAGAGGTCTGCGTTTGTGTCTCCGATGCATCGCGTGGCGGGACTGGGTGTGGGGAGACCCTGCTGGCTTCTTTGTTGACGCTTACTCAACAGCCTGTGATCTGAGCCCCCAGCCAGCATCCTGCTTTCACCAGGGCGAGTGAGTGGAGGCCAGGATTTGGCCTGGGCCTCCAAAGCCCCGCGTGCTTGCGGAGCTGGATGTGCAAAGCGCACGGCAGTGTCCACTGTCGCCTGAGCTAGGGGAGCCGGGCTGTTGGGCCGGGCCAGATGGTCGCTCCGCAGGAGGCGGGTTTCCCAAGTGCTCCAAAGAGGAAGCTGCTTTCTAAAGGGCCTAAGTCCTTGCTCTTGGAGCGGGGTGACCACCTCCCCAAGCCTTCTGCATCCCCGCAGGCCCTGGTGGAGCTGGGTTCCCCGCCTGCATCGCAGCAGAAACAAGCGAGCTCTAGTCCCGGCGCCGCCTGCCCAGGCATCCAGCAGGGCCCACCGAGACTTCTAGCACAGCCCCAGTGCCCAGTAGGGCATTCTTCTCCCACTGGCCCTGGCTCTGCCAATGGGAATTAGATGAGTAGATTCTGACCCGCAGCCTAGAGTCACTGCCTGAGGTGCAGTCCCCAGCGTGGACCTGCCTTGCGCTCTCTCCCAAGGAGAGGAGGGGGTACAGTGGAAGACCCAGCGCTATCACTAAGATGATTCCACCTCTTTCTGTGAACGACCCGAGCAAATCCGTAGGGGCTTCGGCCGCTTGGCACAGGTGTGCCCGGCAAACACCCAGACACTATATATGCAAATAGTCAGGCTCTGTGAAAAGTCATTCTGTCTCCCGCTGCTTTAATATCCGACCTCCTCCGCGGCCTCTGTGTGCTCCGCAGCTTCCGAGCGCCCCTAGGGTCCCGGCTCTGCCGAAAACTGCAGCCTGCCAGGCAAAGCTGCCACGCAGGGAGGCTGAGGGCGACTGTTGACCCAGGTGTGCCACAGGGCTGGGCAGAAATCACCAGTGGGGACCCTGGGCTCCCCATCCCGATGCCCCCGCACTCCCCAGCCCCTCTCGGACCCCTTTCCACTCTCTCAGTCCCATCCCACAGAGGACTGGACCCTCTCTAGGCCTCAAAGCAGAAGCAGGCGGCCACCAGCGGGCACAGCATGGGTCCCAGGACCCCAGGGGCTGGCAGGCCCAAGGGCAAAGGGGGGAGCACGCTTGGGGGCCATGCGCAGCGGCACGGACCCCAACAGACCATTCGTGTTTTTTATTAATAACCTTAAATACCTCATTACACTTGTTTTGCCCTCCCATGGAAAAGAAAGGGCCATTCTTGAAATCGCCTGAAATGTAATAATATTCATTAAAGTGGCTCCTAATGATGTGATTTAATCAAGCGTGGTGGCGCACTCCTGGCTCCGCGTACGGAGGAAGAGGACGTGTTGTTAATTGCTGGTGGTAGTGATGGCCTGTGCTAGCTGCCCGGTAATAGCCAGCTCTTCAGTTCTGAGAGGTTTAGGGGTGTCCCGCTCCGGCGGTGAGGCTTCCCCAGAATGACCATGTCTAGCATCTCAGGGACCAGGGAACAGGCCTGCACCCCCTCTGCAGTCCCAGGCCCAGCCCCAGAGAAGGCCAGAGCGCTCCGCCCCGCCCCCACACGCGGAGGGAGGAAGAATTCCCCAGGCCCTGAGCCCCGAGAGTCCCGGGGGAGGTGCTCTGGGAAGGCGGAACTTGGGGTCCGAGCCCAGGCCCCGCCCCACAGGCCATCCCACTCCTGAGAGCCGAGCCCTGCGCCAGCCTGGGGCGGAAACAAAGGCCTCAGAGCGCAGCTTCCCGGCTGCCCTTTCACCCCTCGGCCTGGAGGCGCCCCGGGGGCCCTGGCTGCCTCCCCAGGCCCCAGACCAGGAGGGGGAAGCGCTGAGGGCTGCGGGCCCATGCAGAGCCTTCCCTTCCGCGGCGGGGCTGGCGGGGACACCCAGGAGGGCCTGGGCACAGAAGAGGCTCGCTGTGTGCAAGGGCTGTGGAAGAGCCGGGCGGGCCTGCCGCACCCATCTGTCCAGAGGGCCTTTGGGGTTCTCGCCTCTGCCAAGCCCTTTGTCTGGAGGGGACTGTCAGCCTCCGGCCCGCCCTCCTCCCTTCCCAGCCTCGACCCCCTCCACCAACTTTCCTTTCTTCCATCCCCTTTCTCTGCTCTCTGGATGGGTAATCACAGGCCCCAGCTGCCCCGCACGCAGTGGCCGCCAGCTGCCAGCGCCCTGACGTGGCCGAGACGTCTGAGCCCTGCTGCGGCCCTCTTGGGTTTTTGACAGCTTTGCTTTCCCGCTCCCAAGAACGAGGAGAAAGTGAGTCCTAAACATTCACTTTTGGGACGGAACCGATGGCGTGGCCACCCTTACCCTCGAATTCTGCTCCTCCCAAGACCCTCCCAGGACTGCTGAAGTTCCCAATTTTTTATTGTGGTAAAATACACATAACAAAATTCACCATCTGAACTATTTTTAAGTGCACGCTTGGGGGATGTTAGATACCCTCCTGATGCTGTGGCCCCCATCGGAATTCCTGTCATCCTGTAACACTGAAACTCTGACCCCACTAAACACCGGCCTGCTTCCCCCCCTCCACAGCTCCTGGCAACGGCCTCCTACCCTCTGTCTCCGTGATCCTGACCACGCGGAGAAGTACCTCGTAGAGAACCATTCTCACCACCGCGAGGGATGATCGATCCCCAACATGCAGGCCCACGCTGACCCAGCGCCCTGCTGTAAAGGCCCATCGTGCCTTCCCCATGAACACTGGGTAACTCCTTTCACCCAAGTGGACGACGCACATGGTCGCTTCCCAATATCCATTTGTCTAGGGAAAGATTGGAGCTGCTAAAGAGCCGCGGGCTGAGCTCAATTTCAGACATCCAGAGTCTTGCTGTCTTATACGTGGCTTACAGACAGTTTGGGTTCCAGGTGTTTCATACAAATACTTCTGTAACATTCCTCAGCACCACAAGAAATATGGTGCAGTGCAAACTGCAGGGGTTTTGTCTGGTTTTGGACAGAACAAAGTCGTGGGGGTTCCCTGCCATGGAGCCTTTTTTAGGGTCCAGAACTTTTTATATTTTATTTTCACACAGGGTCTCTAAGTTGCCCAGGCTGAGCTCGAACTCGAATTCCCTGCCTCAGGCGCTGAGGTCTCCGGGACTGCGGGTATGAGCCACCACGCCCAACAGGAAAACCCGGAGTTCTGCAGCGGGCAGCCCTGCGTTCAAACCACAGCCCCACAGCGAATTCACGCAGGAGCTGACCGTGCCGCCGCTGTGCCGCCGACTCCCAGGACGCAGCGCCATTCTCCTCCCAAACAGAAGGAACATCTACCTAATGGGTTTCCTGC